CGTGGCATCGCTGCGTCTCATTTGTTGCCATGGGACGATTTCGCCGTGTGGCTGGAAGAGTCCAACTCTGAAAGCGTCGAGTGCGTCGGCCGTCAGTGATACGACGCGGATGGGTGCCTTCCTCTTGGACGACCAATGGTGATACATCTGTATCGCCGCGAGCAGTAGCTTCTTCCTGGTGAGAGGTACTGGTCTTGGAGCGCCGTTGGTGTCGTCGGAAGCTTGGAGATCCATAACTTCATCTTTGGTGAGAAGTAGGAGATCCATCCATCCGTCGATTCCTTGTTCAGACAGTGCGATGCGCATGTGAGATGCAGTGTACCCTGTGGTGGAAGCGTCTTCGCCGCATAGGGTGCATAGGACATGCTTGAGCTTGGCTGCTTCATCGGCCATCTTGATGAAGGTGTGGCAGTGCGTAACTGCGACTAGTTAATCTGCTAACGTGGGGAAATACTACTTGAATAGAGGGATCTTGTAGAGGTAGCTACCACCCAACGAGATCAACTGCAACTATTCAAGACGAGTGCAAAGTAAATGCAAAGTTCGCTTCTTAGTAATTCATAATCTGTGTTGTGAGCTTTGATTGATGCGATCAGTAAAGCTAGTTCGTAGCGTGTTGGATCAATGCATCGTGGTAGTTGATCTTGATTCATACGGAAGTCAACGTGGTGGCAGGATGCTTTACTCCTGTCGAATACTCCAATTTACCGTGTCCTTTGGTTTCGTTGAGAACGTGTTCTTGCCAGCGTTCTCTGTTCCATCGTGTTGACTCATAAAGCATGACTCAATCTACTCACGGATACTCTGAGTCGTGGGAGGAACTGTAACGCTTTCACCAACTAATAGACAACTCCTTCCATTAGATAGACACCTTATGGATCAATAGGAGCCATAGCTCCAGGTTTACTTTTGTCCTTTGCCCTAATCCACAAGCTTACCTTGTAGATAGGGAAGGGTGGTTACGGATCTGTATCGTAGGGTCGTCATTCGACTTTAATCGATACCCTACCTTCAAGATTTGTATCCTACCTTCAGGTGCGATTTTTAGATGCAACTACAGCAGCCAGGGAAGCATCTGAGGGCGTGTGAGATTGTGAGGGACTTTGATATCCTGAACAACCTGGAGAATCAGCCTGCTTCCACTACTGCAAGGAAATAGTCCTCTCAACTGAAGAAGATTGAAATGTTGCAATAGCAACAGTTGGATATGTTAGGTAGAATAATGAGTATTGTAGTCACAATGTAGCACACAAACCCTCAATTGTACCTCTTCTTCAAGGGTGAGATTCTCAATAAGTGTGAGGTCGTTGTGGCTGTTCGCTTTGGTAGTTACTACTGAGTGTCTTCATCTCGGCATGCATACGCATCTTACCACACATGAAGAGTTTCTGCTTCTCCAAAGCCTTGTAGGCTTTGATCAATGGATTGAATCATTCCTGCTCACCATCGTTGAGCAAAGGAAGTATGGTGACCTCTCGATGTCCCTGCTGTTTGGTTGGGGCAATTTTGTGGTCGATGATTGAAAGGTAGATACAATTTACTCGTAGCAAATGTTTGTTGCCAAACTGCACTACTAGTATGCTAGAAGCTAGACAGAATTCAATTCTGTTAGGTAGTTTGATAGTTTGGATTATCTAGTTGTTAGAATTGTGAGATAAGAAAAGAGAGGAAAAACTAATTGAAAGTGAGGGTTGGATAGACCTTGGATATGGTTGTCGAGAATGGCATCCTTCCTCTTTTTTTAAAATAACGAAGTTTTGCCTCGGCAGTCTTGCTGCCAGAGCCCTCAACCCCTTTAATTGTTTTTCCTGCTACGGTGGTCCCTGCAGGTATAAGAATAGGGTTAGAATACAAATAAGTCAGCAAAAACTAAATAAGTATCCTAGCTAGAGGATGGTGCAAACCAGCTAAAGCTATTTACATCCTTCCGAGTAGGGGGCGAAAGCTATAACTAGTATTCTAGCTAGCTAGGGGTGTCTGCTTCTAGCTTGCTATGGGAATCTGCTTCTAGCTAGGGGGAATTAGCTTCTAGCTAGCTAAGCAAAAGTTAAGCACTAGCTAAGCACTACAGATATCTGCTTCTAGTTAGCTAGCTATAGGGGTATCTGCTTCTACACTGAAACCTTCTGCCGAGGTTACACAGCTCGGCTGGCTTAATTATTTAGGCTGCACCTCAATAGACCACCCGCTGAATGGAGCTATATTGAACCGGAGTACCTCAGACGTACAAGGACGCCCACATAGGAACCGGCCTAGTGCAAGCCCCCCACCGGAGAAGTTTAAAAACTCCGAAGGGTGCTTTGCGACTATCTAACTACCCCTGGCTGGATTGCCATCTATTTCTACGGTAAAACCCCCTCTTTGCGTAGTTACCCTGTTTCATTGTTCTGCACGGTGCGTGCATGCTCGGCCCTGAGTGCCTTGTCGGCATCCTTCCTCTTGGTGCCTACTGCGGCTACCGGAGACTCCGTATGATCTTTCTTGGTGATGAAGTTAGGGTGGAAGGTCAAAAACGCAGAAGGATTCCTGCGGGAGTTGGGCGTAGAAATGTGGAAGCTGTACTGTAACTATAGCGGCCTGTTGAGCCTTGGGGTAGTGTCCAACTGTGAGCCCTAGCTAGCAAGATGATGACTGATGAGATGTAGAGATGTACTTTAAGAAAGCAATGTAGGTGCACGAGGATCGAGTGGGGGAATCGATTACTACCCCGAGCCATTCAGGAACTCGTCAGTCAATGCTCAAAATAGCATCGGGGAGGGGACCATTTAGTTTGAATCATTCAATCATTCATTCTCATTCTTGAGGGGCTGAAATATAGTGGGCCCAACTCCAGGATGTCCCTGTGCATGCTAGGCCTGCATCCAGTCCCACTTCATTAGTGACTCAACCAGTCACAGACCCTTCTCAGCCATTCTTTTTCTCGATCCTTTGCCGCAACAACCAAGTGAAGGTTGTGACAGACAAAGAGCCGAGCGAAGCGGGAGACAAGACGCCACAGCTACATCTGAACCATTCCTGAACAGCAAGACAACAACAACAGCAGAAATCGGATCAGCAGCAGCAGATTTGAGCAAGAACAGTTGTCCTCGTGACCGGGGAGCGGCCACCACAGTGACCCTCCCTGTACTTGCAAACCGAGGCCCAAGGACACCCACCGGTAATTTCTGTCTGTTGCCCACACATAGAACCAAGAGAAAACAAAGAAGACAGGGGTTCAGAGACTCAAACAAGCCCAAAACAAAATTATTTGGGTTGCTCGGTACTTAAGCCTACACAAAGTGCGTTTGGACCCACACTTGCCCCAGCCATGTGGAGACTTCGCCAAGCCAAAGCAGCCCAAAGGGCGCAAGAAGAGCAGAAGGCCCAAGAACCTGAAGAACTCAAAAACCTCAAGTCTGCTATCCAAAACATGCCAACCGTCACCCAAGAGAATATCGACCAACAACTCGAAGCTTGGTACGATTTCATGAAGGAGGGCCACATGGAAGCAGCAGAGGCTGCGGCCGAACTCAATGAAATCCTCCGAAAGCATGGCGACCAAGACAAAAATGGACCGATGGTCCTCCTAGTCAACACAGGCAATGGCAACTTTGAACTTCTCACCTGCATCCTTACGGCACCGACCAGAGACGACATCCCAAATGCGCCCCGAAATTCGGCCCTCCTAGGGCCGGGCAAATTCATCGGAGTACTGGTCGATCGCACTGAACATCAAGACACCTGGCTAGTCACCATTGTAGATCCCAAGAATGTGTTTGGCAAGCGCACAGAGAAATTGGCTCAATGGGATGACATTACCCCACCGAATGATGAAGACAATGGTGTCGGCCTTAAACCCCACGACGATGCCACTGAGGCAGAGTTCTACCCATGTCTGTCAATCTTCGGCAAAGAGGTATGCGACATTCTGTACGAAGGCCTCTACCCCGCCAATAGGACCGATAGCTCCTCGGTAGCAACAAAATGGGGCTCTCGAACCATTGCCCATCAACTCAAATCCTGGGTGGACACCATCGGCCCTGACAGTGTACGCGATCAGGCCAAACTGTCCCTTCTAGGCCTCTCCACTCAAGTCAATCAGGCCAAGGATGCTGCAACCATAATGTTCAACCAGACATCCTGTAATGCTGAAACCATGACCGAGCCATTGCAAGCATACATTACACCAATCGTGGAATCCCTCTTGCACCCCAAACCATACCAGGAAGAAGAACGTTCTCAAAATGGCACCATTGCAAATGGAGCCCCAAACAGGAGTGACCCCAGCGCAACTGGTGGCCCTCACTCCGAACCCCTCACAAACGGGGATCCCTCAAACGGGAATGGCACCATCGCAAATGGAGCCCAAATCGGCGCTGGCACCATCGCAAATGGTGCTCAAATCGGCGCTGGCACCATCGCAAATGGCAGCCAAAACTCTCAACCCCTCACCAATGAGGGCCCCTCAACCGGGACCGGCACCATCGCAAATGGTGCCGCAACTGGACATGGCACCATCGCAAATGGCCGCACAAAAGGAGGACCTGCCTTTCAAGGCTTTGACTATCCTGAGAAATTTGTCGAGGACTTATGCAACATGCGGTTCACTCACTCTTCCACTGAGAGCTGGTGGACCGGCCTGGTCGGCCATCAGATCCGACGCAGCAAAGAGCAGATCCAAACCCACAATGAGCTCCACTGCTCATACAATGCGGACCGCCTCCAGCTCAACCCAAATAGCATTGGCAAGCTGAGTCTTACAGCACCTGTTCCGATCAAACATATGAGCGAGCTCCTAAACTTTCTCCTCCGGGTTCAGTA